AGGGAGCTGGGAGCGAGCAAGGCCAGGACATATGACCAGAGCTGGCCCAAGGGACTTTGCACACCATAGATCATGCTGCTCAGTGGATAAACTGGAGGAGTTGGCTGGGATGGGCTGATTGCTCTGGGGGATGGGCTGGACATCGGTCAGAGGGTGGTGAACAACTGTAGTGTGCATCTCTTGTCTTTATTATGTCTCTCTCTATCTCTCTGTTCATGATTGTTATTATTATTAATATTTACTTTATTTCAATTATCAATTGAAATATTGTTCTTATCTCAATTCACAGACTTTACCCTTTTCCAATTCTCCTCCCCATCCTTCTAGGGCAGGGTGGTTTGACTGAGTGAGAGGTTGTGCTGTACTTAGTTACTGGCTGAACTTAAACCACAGCAACATGAATAAACTTTTGAAATAGCCTGTAACCTGTACATCACAAGCCCCAAACACAACCATGGTTACCAAGATCTGTCTTCTCCGGGACCCTGGGGTGAGCAAGTGGTGTTGGGGGGGCATGGTGTGCCCTGTGACAGAGAGCATTGTGAGGGCTGTCACCTGGGAGTGCACTGGTGACACCAGGGATGGGAAATCCACCTCCATGGGGTCACAGGAGAATCCAGGAGATGCAGCCATGCTGCTTACCTGAGTAGCAGAGTTGAATTGACAACCTCCAAACAACTTTGGGTACTGAAATAGATTTTAAATCTGTCAAATTAGTCCAACAAGAAGCAGACCTGCAGAACCACTGAGGCAGCTGTATCCGTCCTCCCCTTGCTTTGCAAATGATTTGATGCTGAAGATGGGTATGATATTAAAGATTTTGTGACTGAATTAGTGGAAGAATGATGGACCAAAGGAAAAAAAATAACCAAACTCAGTGTGGCTCACACAGCACCAATCCCTGGCTGTGCAGCTTCCCATGTGCTGTCCTCTCCTCCCTGCTGTACCTTGAAGGGCCCTTTATGCTGCTTTTTCTGCTACTGTAAAGTTCATCTTTATTCTCAGCTAGGCAACCTGCAGGCTATTGGTTAAAAAATAAATATAACAAGAAATTGGTTAAAAAAATAAATATAACAAGAAAAGACTGTGTATTCTAGACGCCGTGTGGATTTGGTTTCTTAAGTGCTCTAACCTGCCTCTGTCCCACCAACCCTTCTCTTCAGCAGCGCCTTCTCTGCAGCCGCAGCAGCCCTGGCCATGGAGCCACCAGATGGAGCTGCAGGTCTCCGGCACTGCTCCGGGAACCACTGGGACCAGTGACCCGCCAGCCCTGGGAGGGGACAGCATTCCCCGCATGGGGGACGCCCTCCCTCCTGTTTCTGTGGCCAGCTGCTGCCCCCCAGAGCCCACCCTGAGTGTGTCCAGGGTTGGTCTGTGGCTGAGTGGCTCCGATGGGTGCTCTGCTGTGCTCGGATGAGGCTGATCCTGCAGCCCGGACCAGCTTCCTTCCCTCCTCTGCTGCGAGCAGCCCGCCCCTCCCCGACAGCAAAGACACGGCCGAGTTTCCTGCTGCCATTGCCCACAGCCCTCTCTTTCCATGCTGAGGATTTCCCAGCCCCAGGGACCGTGTCCGGGCTGTCTGTGCCTCCCCAGCCACCCAGATGCCGAGGGGGAACTCCCTCCCCTCTGCTCGAGATGCCAGCTCTGGTGGAGACTACATCCCTGCAGGATGGGCAGACCCACTTCTTGCTCCCCTGCAAGCCTTTTACACATCTCCTGTGCTCCCCCATCCATGGCTTTGTGTGAATATTCTCCTTTTCCCCTGGTCCCCTCCTTGCTGCTGCCTTCTTGCCTGCCTGTGTCCTCATCCTGTGCAAGCATGTCCCCTCCCTCATGCAGCCCCTTCATCTCCTCCCCAGTCCTCAGAGCCACATGTGCATGAATGGGCTTCTCAGCCATGGCCTCGTTTTTGGGGTTCTTTCCAGGATACCCCTTTCCAACATGCAGTTGTGACCATGACTAGTTTCTGAGCAAACTGCCTTAAAATTCTTCTTTCTGGGGCTCCTGGCACTTTTGGGTTCAGAGCAAGCACTCCTGGCCTGGCTGTCATGGGAGCAGTGAGCCCATCCCAGAGGATGAAGGAAGAAGGATGCTCACTCTGTGGGTTCTGTGCAGGTCCTGTCTGCCCCCCCCCGGTCTGTCTGAGACTGGGCTCTGCTACAGCCAGCTCTCAGCTCATGCCTGGCACTCGCAGCCAGGGACAGCAAAACTTCACCCAGGGATGTTTTGCTGGCTTTTCACCACAGCCAGACTGATAAATAGCTGTCTCCACGCCTGTCTCCCTGGAGAGAAGCTCTCACCACTCCGGCAGGTTGCGAGGTGCCAGAAATGCAGAGCCCATTGTTGGTCTCACTTTTGTCCTCAGCTGCCTGTCCCCAGCCCCCTGCAGCCACCACAGTGCCCGTGGGTCACTCGGGGCTGGCACAGCTTGGTGAGCAGGGAGCGAGGGCTGGGCTGGGTCGGGATTTCCCGGCAGAGCTATTGACGGGAGGCGGGGAGAGTCTGTATTCACCAGCGGTCTGTTAAAGGGCAGCAATATTTTATAATGTGCCCCAGGGCTGTCTAGGCTCAGATCTCATAGATGATGGTTTAATGCTCAGGGGACCAGGCCTTTATTTTGCTTTTTCTCTGTCCTCTCCTCTACTCCCGTGATGTCTCTGGAACTGTTGGCGGACCTGTGAGCCAGCCAGACCCACCATCCTCCTCCCTGCCATTAGTGCAGAGGAGCCTGGTGCTGTTTTTCAGTTCTGTGTCATAGGAAAATAGGGATCAATAACCCAGCTCCCAGCCCTGGGTGCAGGCGCATGGGAGGAAACAGCCCCCATTATTTTAAGCTCCCTCCAGAGTGGAGATTCTCACAGTCTCTGATGCAGAGATGTCCGGCAGAGTTTTGTCCCTGTCTCAGCTCACAGGCAGATCCTCTGCTGTGAAGACATTCTCCTTCAGTCCAACAATGAGTGGGAATGGGCTGATTTTTCACACCTTTTAAACAAACCTCATATTGTTTCCCTCATGTCAGTTGAACCCAGACTTAATTGCTATTCTCAGCAAACAGGTTGCTGCCCTCTGCTCCTGCCACCACCCCCATCTTCAGTGATGTGCTAAGGCTATAAATAATTGAAGGCAGGATCTCCTCTGTTGCCCTTTTTTTGTGATTTGTATTCAGGGGCTGCTCAGGGTCTGTCTCAGCCCTAGAAGCTGCACAGGCCAAGGCTGAGCAGCTGTCAGAGTGAGGGATGGTGTGAAGATTCTCCTGGGAGTGCAGGTGTGCATGGCAGATATCAGCAACCAACCTTAACCATGTTCCTCTTGGAATAAAAGCCACAGGGCACAAGCTCAATACATACAAAAGTTTTATTTTGTTCTCAGGAGGAAGACTAAGAGAACCATCCTTACCTGACATCAGGTATTTTACAGAATATAATATATATAAAAAAAGAAATACATATATATTAAAAAATACCTTGCAATTACATGACATAGCCAAGAGTACAGTTCATAGTGTATCTGCAAGTTCAACCTTCCTTAGGCCTTCTGCTCCTCTACAAGCTCTACAAATGGCTTTTTGGGTGATAGCAAAATGTCAGAGTGGCTCATCCACTGTTGGCTTCTTCCTTTCATGGAAAAACCAAAGGAGGAGGAGAAAGAGAGGCTTGAAGGAGGCTACAGGCATGCAGAGAGCACAGCAGGCAGTTTTTGCATGTTGCTTACAGCTATGCTGGCAAATGAAGGAGAAGGTCCTGCTGAAGGAAGGACAGCTCACCTGACCTTGTTCCTTGTTGGGACTTGTCTGCATGGGCTATGGAGGGGAGCTGGGGAGATAAGAATACTCCTGGTGTGGTAGGTGGATTTGAGTCAGTCTAGAAGGACTCGGACACCTGCAATAGGCCACAGGAGCCAAGAACAAACACTGAACACCAGTGGTAACCTGTAAATCAGCTAAATCAGTGGCCTCAAAAGCAGTGAAAAGGGACTAGGTTCTTGCAAGAATGAATAAACTGTCATGCAGGACTAACCAGCCCCTGAGAAAGAGATGAAAGACAAGAAAGGGTGTTTTATATGAAACGATTCTGCTGAAAATAAGTATTGCTTAGATACAGCTGATGTGAAGCTGTCTTGTAATGGAAAACTTTCCTTGGGAGGTCTGCTGTGGCTGGAAACCACAGAGCTAATCTCAGAGTGGGACTGGAGAGGGCTTCAGGTGATAGAAGATTGGAGAAATTTTTGTGGCTGGAGGTCAGGGTGGTGCTGAGTTCAAACCCTGCTCTGTGTCCTCATGTTCTCTGTGGGTCTCTCATCCCACATGGTGGAATACAGGTATCCCATTTGGGCTGGTGCTGTCTTGGCAGCCATGGCTGAAGTTTAGGGCTAAATGTGGATGCATCCTCACATTTTTGGGGCCAGGTGGATATCACCTGAGACGCTACCAAGAAGAGATGTTTATTTGCCTATGAAAATAATGGCAAACTCCCAGGACTCTCTCACTACTCCTTGTACAGAAAATGGGGTTCAACCAGCGTTGCGAACCTGTGAGGTCCAGGCCTGCCCACATGGATTTCCTGCACTGTCCATAGACTCTGAAGCTCTGTAGCTGCATCTTCTGACAGAGAGATCTGGCCAGAGAGCCCTGGGGGTGGGGACAATTGCCTGTACACAGCACAGAGCCTTGGTGTCAGGGAAACGCTGCCTCAATCACTGTGCCTTTTTCCTGGCTCGGAGGGAAGTTCCCTGGAGTGTGGGTGAGGTTTGCAGATGGGCAGCACATGCAGAGGACACCAGCTGAGATCTTGTCCTTCGCCCCCTCCTTCCAGCTCCCTAGCAAGCATTTCCTAAGAATGCGAGCGAAGGGATGCGGGACCAAGCGAAACAAATGACCTGGCAAGGGCTTGGCATGCGTGGAGTATCGTGGCTATTGCTTGCGAAAGACCCGAGTCTGGAGCACATTAAACAATAACAACAACAAGAAAGGGAGCCGCGGTGGCAGCAGGCAGCTTAGTCACTCATCTCTCCAGCTCTGGGTCCAGAAATGTCCATCTCTCTGAGGAGCCTGTTTTCTGCTCCACCCAGTCCACGTAGTTGGAGACCTTGGTGTACACACCGTACACCTGCTTGCTGCCGCACTCCTCCGGGCCGCCCCACGAGACCAGCCCTTGGGCCACCCACCTCCGCGTTCCCGGGTCCTGGATGACGAAGGCTCCCCCGCTGTCCCCTAGACAAGTGTCCTTGCCCCCCTCATAGTAGCCAGCACAGAACATGTTCTCGGTCACGCTGTAGTTGCCCGAGCGTGACTCGTAGCTGGTCTTGCACTCGGCATGCAGCACCACGGGCAGTTTGACGTACTGCAGGATGTCAGACAGGGTCCTCATGCCTGAGCTGATGATCTCATCCACCGTGATGTTGGGGTTGGAGATCCCCCAGCCAGCCACCAGCCCCAGTGTGTTGGGGTGAGGCCCCTCCAGCTCGTGCTCAAACTGGGGCAGGCAGACAGGCATGACGTACTTCCCCATGGTCACCTTCTCCTTCAGCTTCACCAGTGCGATGTCGTGGTTGTAGTTCTGGATGTCAAACTCCTCGTGGAGGATGATCCTCTCCACCGTCCTGTTGACAGCTTCCATCTTGTTCCTCACATCGTGAAGGGCCAGGTAGACGGTGACGTGCTCCTTGGAGACGGGGATGACGGTCTTGTCCCGCCGCTGGGACCGCAGCACGTGGGCGGCCGTCAGCACCCAGGACTCTGAGAGCAGCGCCCCGCTGCCGAACCATTTGTCGTTGGGCACGCGGGACATGTCCTCCACCACAATCAGGGCCTGCCAGGGGAAGAAGCCGGGCTCCGCGTTCCGCCCGCCGATGATGCGCTTGATGATGCCGGGCAGAGGACGAGCCGGCCGGCCACACACTGGGGACAGAAGGGACAGCACAGTTACCTCCAGCATATTTATCTAGGGAACAAATGAAAGGGGCCGCGTGGCTGGTTATCTCCAAACCAAACACTCTCTTTTGTCCTTTTTGGTTTTGTTTTTCTTTCCATTTTCAGTTTCTTGAGGGATTTGGCTAGATCCACACCACTTCAGATGCAGAAAGGCCAAATGAGTAATCTTACAGCCTCTCTGTGACCTGTGAGCTCAACCAGCCCTTCACAGACCTTTCAGGCACTTGCTTGGCTCCTGCTCAGTGTGCCAAGTGACCCAGGGGAATGATGGTGGGAGGACTGGAGCTTGACATCAACCCAGTCTCACCCCTCACTGGGACCTGTCAGGAGGTCTGTGCTCTCACAGCCATGGCATTTGCCCTCCTGGAGCTGCTGTGGCTGGAGAAGGCTCAGCCATGGGATGTTGCCTAGCACCATGGGCTTTACTCCTGCGTCTCATCAGCCACAATTCTGGCAGCCAAACCAGAAGCTCTCTGCTCAGCTCTTCAACAGACCAGAATTAATGCCTGAAGAACCCTGACATGGTGCCTGCTTTGCTCCCAGAAGCTTTATCTAGGCACGGTGTTAGGAAGGTGAGGGAATCAGGATGTTGAAGGTGGCTCTGAAAGGTTGGACAGGGTAGGGAGGGACAATCCTGTCCCTGGGGAATTTAAGCCTTGGGATATGGCTGTTGGTGGTAGGGCTGATTCCTGCCTGTGGCAGCACTGTGGAACAGGACTCAGGTGGCTTGGGAATGCTAATATCACTGGGAGGTTGTGGGAGCCTATTTGGGCATGTCCTACATCTGAAAGAGTCCTGAATCACAGCAACTCAGGTGCAGGCCTCATCCCTCTCAGTCTGCAAAAAAACCCCAGATCCTCCATGGAAAGTGCTGGGACTCTGCCTCAATGCCACCTGTGCTGTGAGGATGCAAAGCCCCACAGCCAGAGGCTCTGACCCCTCAGGGTGGTGGGGTCAGGGTGAGAATCAGTCTTGGGACCAGGGCAGGAGCACTGGAAGCTGCTACTGTGGATTTGTTGAGGCTGGGGTCTGTATCTAGGAAAAATGTAACTCTAGCAGGGAGGGAACATGGTGAATATGTCTCTGCATGAGCTCCACACCCCTGCCTTTCCCAGTGCTGAAAGGAATAAAAAACATGCTCAGGAAAAGAATTCCTGTGTCCCAGCCCAGCTGCTCTGCTGCACCGAAGCCGATGGCTGTCCCAGGGAGATGCTTTTAGGGGAAGTTCATCCAGCCAAATATTTATTAAATTACATATCAAAAATGCTGACCAGGCTGCAAATGCTCCCACTAATGGCAGAGGCAGGCATGGAGCAGAGGTTCCTGGAAGAGAGGTTCCTATTGATGGGGAGGTGCGTGAGACACGGGAAGATCTGAAGAGCAGCTGGCCAGCTGCTGCCGGCAGATGCCGATCTCAGGAGAGTGTGACCCTCTCTCTGGGATTTTCCATTTTCCTGAAATCTCTCTGACTCCTGTCACTAATCACAAGGCCTGGAAATGGCCCATGAAAGCAGCTATGGCCCCAAAGCTGTCCCCGTATGCTCCCAGCTCAAATTAGTTCAGGCTGAAACATCAAGCAGAGATGCAGAGAGCAGCTGCCACAACAAGAGCAGCCACAGCCCTGGTCTTGGAGTTTTGTGGGATGCAGGGAATCTTAGGAGTCCTTTCTCTAGCCTTGCAGTGTCTCAGCGTGGCTGGAGAGCAGATACCCTCCATGGGGTTGGGCCAGTGTCTGAACCCAGGCTGGTTGCAGCTGTAGCTGCTGCATGGCATGGATCTCTGCACCTCTCTGGAGAGCCATCCCTGCACATCCCACTACAGCCCACACCCAAACTGCCTCCAGGCCCCTGACGTGCCAGCCAGTCTGGCCCCATGCTCGGCCATGGCCACAAACTCCCAGAGACTTTTGTTTAATCCCAAGCAGGTGCCTGGCCTGGAAACTTGCTGGCTGCAAACATTTCTGCCACTGCTCAAAGACTTGGGACATTTCCTTCCCTGTAAAGCAGTTTGTTTTTTTCTGGAAGGCTTGAAGAGGTGATAATTGCTACTGGATGTGTACACACTGCCAACAGGAGCTGGCAGCCAGGTAATGCTCTGCTCTTGGCTAAAACCATCTCCAGGGATGCTGGCAGCCGAGCATGGCCAGGGGGCTGCTGGAGTGGGGAGCTTGGGGAGTCCTGACAGCTGGGATGGCTGTGACCCCAGTGCCACCACTGCACCCTGACCCCCTGGGCCTGCTGGGGTACCAGGAAGCCTCTGTCCCCACCACCCTGCTGGCCATGCACTGTGGCACTTGGGTATGTACAGCTGGCACTGTCACCAGGAGCAGGGTTCCTGCATGGCAGCATGCCCTCCCTGTGTCCCTGCTCTGCACCCCTGGCTGTGTGAAGCCACCCCAGCACAGTACCTGGTCTGCAGGATGGCAGCCTGGTCCCCAGCTCCTCACTCCTCCACTGCCCCAGCGCATCGCACGTGTAGGTGGCTGCAAGAGAGCAAAGTGTTAGCTGGGCTCTGGTCCTGGCATGAGGGATTGTCCTTTCCAGTGAGGAGACCTTGCCCGGCTGTCAGGGCCCTTTGAACCCTTTTTCAGAGCAGGAAGTGACCTCCATTTTAATGCCCTTGGCCATGATAGCCCTGCCCCCATGCAGGGACATGTCTCCATCCTCAGTTTCATTGCCTGGAGCTGTCTGGAGGGCTGTGCTATGGCCTCGGCCTCTGCTGGCAGCTGCCTCCATACAAAAATGCTGCCATTCTGATAATTCATATGTGATGCTGGAACCATATGCAGGGAGATAAAAGCAGGAAGACAAGAATGTGAAGAATTCTTTTGGCTTTCGTTGCTGAGGGAGGAGAAGGGAGAAGGGCTGGGCTGTGTATGCACCCTTTCTACTGTCCAGAACTGGGTCTGGAGGGTACAGAGATCTGTGGTAATGATAAGCCAACTTGTGGTTTTTCTGTGGTTGTGGACCAAGGGGGATGGCAGAAAAACTCAGTCTGATATGATCCCACCACTATCTGTTCAGCTTGTTCTGTGCTGAACACTTGGGTGCTGGAATGAGAAGCCTTGCAGAGCCCTTCCAGAGGCTGCTGGACCTGGTGCTCTCTCCAGCAGCAGCTCCTTTCACAGACACAGAAAATTTTGTAGTCTGCAGGGTGCAGATGGCAGGGTAAGAAGGCAGAATGCAAAACAAACACCCACACCGCTCTGCTGAGGCTGTGAAACCCCCAGGCAAAGCAGCCAGCAAGGCCAGCTCCATCCTACCTCATTTGTCCAGTCTGACAGTCCAGGCAGGGCAGACACAGGGCTTGGTATGTGCAGGCTACATCCACAGCCTGCTGTTTGCAGAACACCCTGGAGTGCCATCCCAGCTCCCCCTCTTGCATCCCACGTGCCCACCCTGGCTGTGCCGTGGGGACGTGGCCTGGCCCCACTGCTCACCGGTGCTGTTGGGGGCCATGCGGTAGTAGGGGTGCTGGCAGTGGTACTGGATGGATGCCTGGTAGGTGGTCAGGTTGTTCCTGGTGGAGAAGGTGACAAAGCCATGCTCCAGCTCCGGCGGCGCCTTGCAGTCAGCAACTGAAAGCCAACACAGAACGGGGGGGGGTTGGACCCTGTGCTGCAGCTTGGGGTGTTCAGCCAGCCAGCAGGCAGGTAGTGCTGGGCTCTGGCCTGGGATGGTGCTCTTGTGGGGCACACCAAGGGCCTGTATGGTGCTGTGTCCCTTTTCTCTGTGGCATTGCAGGGAGCTCTGTCCAGGCAGGGCAGGCTGGCCCTGTGAAACTCTGCCATGGCCACAGACAGAGCACACGAGTGGCAATGTCCCTTTTCTCTGTGGCATTGCAGGGGGCTCTGGCCTGGCAGGACAGGCTGGCCCTGTGAAACCCTGCCATGGCCACCCTGCACAGACAGAGCACACGAGTGGCACCAGGAGCACCAGCAGCCTGTCCCACCTACAGGCTGTGTGAAAAACACTCACACTGGTGGAGACCTCAGGCCTGGCAGCCCCTCCATGAGGGATCAGGATCTCTCTGCTGCTCCACTGGGAGGGGAAGAAGCCTGTCCTGGCAGGTGAGGTCTGTGAGATGGTCCCAGAGTGTGTCTTTGCACTGTAGAAGTGTGCAGGGAGAGGCAGGCAGTGATTCACCAGCTGGGCATCAGGGGTGCTCCTCTATGTACAAGGCTTTGCTGAGAGCACAGCCCTGTCCTTCCTGCTCTGGTTTTGCTCACCAAGAGCTGATGAGCATTTACAGCTCAGGTGGAACAGCCCTGGGTCCTGGCTGTCCTATAACAGCAGGACATGAAGGACATGGACAGTGTGGCTTGGCTGATCTGCAGGCAGGGGAGGTCAGTACATGTGGGTGAGACCAAACTCCTCCATCCCCCAAAACATCAGCAGCGTTGGCTCTGCTTTACCAGTCCCTGGTGTTGACTCAGGGTGGGATTGAGGGAGAAGAATTATGCCCTTCCCCATGTCCTGTCCATGGTTCCCTTTCTCCCCATGATCCCCCAGAGTGCTCTGCCCTCTCCCCATGGCTTGTCCCCCATATTAGGTTAGTGCCAAACACTCCAGGGAGCGCCCCAGGCTGTGGGAGGGCTCATCAGCCAAGTCCAGGAGTCACCTCCTTGGAGCTGAGCCTCCCTCCCACATGGACAGCTCACAGTACATTCAGGTGATGCTGTGCAGCCTTCCCCACTCCATCCTGGGTGAGCTGCCCCAGGGGAGGGCAGGAACCAGGGTCTGATCCTGCCAGGAAATGCAGTGCTGTGCAGCTGGGTTCTGCTGTGTTTAGGATGAGGGGCTGAGTAGGGAAACAGTGACTTTGCAGTAAGTCACAGTGACTTTGCAGTAAGCAGGTCCTGTGGGTCAGGGATGATGTGAGGCTCCCATGTGCTCCAGGATGTGAAGGGAACGAGGAGAGCAGTCCTAACTGATCCAGGCTAACAAAGAGAGAATTCACTGGACACAGTAGCTGGAACCGGGGATATGGACCACTGCTCAGGATTGCCTAATTCCTTGGGTGAAAAAAGCCTGATTTATGGCAAAATACTGCAGCTCACCATTCACCAGGGTCCCCTCCACTGTCTGTGGAGCAGCAAGTGATGGGATGACTGTGTAGGTGCAGGTAGGCTGGGTTTTCTTGCAGGAAAGAGGGAGTGAATGTCAGGGGACCACCCTGACCATCTCTACTCTGGGACTCTTTATGGCTGCAGGGCAGCATTCATTGCACAGCCTACTACACAGCCCATCTCATCCCTGTGTGTCCCTCAGACCTGGGCAGGCCTGATCCCTGGAGAATGGGCTCTTGCAGAGAGGTGTTGCTGCACCAGTGTCCCAGGTCCTGCTGAAAGCGTGAGGAGAGGGCATTCCTTCTGTGAGCCTTTCTAGAGTTTTTCGTCAGGAAAGGGGCCATTTGGCATCTCTGTCTTTGTAGGACCAGAAGTGGACTGATGTTCCCAACACACACCTCCTCCTCCTCCTCTCCCAGTCTCTGGACAACTTCCCTGCATCCTCCTAGAGGAGCCTCCAATGCCTCAGGGAGAACAGTGTGCGTGCCCATGGTTCCTGGGGATGTGAATGGGGCCAGATACCAGGTTCTGACCTCCTTCAGCTGCAGTCAGCCTGAGGCCAGGCTGTCCTCACCTCTGCCAGGCCAGCTGTGGGGAGCAAAGGGGAAGCAGAGGAACATCCATCCCCCTCTCTTGGTGGCAGGGCTTGGTGCCTGCAGGACAGGGCTGGTGATGCCAACCCATCCTCCAGGCCTCCTTGTCCAGAGGGTCTGAAAGGCACCAGGACTCTTCGAGAGAGGAGGGGAAGGAGTGTTTCTTATTTGCAACACTGGGCCAGTGAGGAAGGACAGTGGGAGACTGAGTCCAATCCACCAACCCACCAACCGGGCGGCCGTGCCACAGTCCTTGCACGGCTGCCTTGGAGGGGGATCCAGGGCGGCCCAGGAGTCCGAGTGCAGAGGGAGGGATGCAGAAATGCTGGGAGCCAGCAGCAGCAGCACGTGGTGCCCAGGCAGTGGTGCTGGGGCAGGTGGGCCCCCTTCCCTGGGGCAGTGTGTCAGTGGCAAAGGGGGGCTCGGTGCCCCTTTCCTTCACCCTTCTCGAGACGGAGTTAAGAAAGCACCAGGCGTGAGGGTTAAGAGTGCCATGCCGGTTAGACAAGCCACAGAGATGGATTTGGCAGCCAGGCCAGTGGAAAGGGAACCTGCCCGGGGTACTGGACAGATCAGAGGGGCATCGAGGCAGGCTGCCCGTCGGGGCGGCACGGCCGGCGCCAGCCTCACGCGGCCACTCGCTCCGAGCCGGCTCTTCCCTCTGTCTGGTTGTCGGCTCTATCTGCAGCTGCACCGAAAGCAGAGGGGAAGGAGGAGAGCAGAGAGAGAAAGCCCAATTAGTAGATGAGCGGAGAGAGACATGCAGGAAACCCAGCCCCCAAAACACCAGAAATCGTTAATGAGCTCCCAGCGAGCTGTGCCAGGGTGCTGTGGATGCCAGCGGAGCCACGGCCCTGCTGGGGACCCCCTCACTCTGCTCAGCCAGGGCAGTCTGGGGGTGATGGCTGGGAGAAGCTGTCACAGGTTTCTGTTTAGCCTCTCCAGGCTATGGAGCTGGATTTTATCCACTTTGCTGAGAAGTTTTCTATTTTCTGCATTGTTTGTGCCCTGCCTCGCACAGACATCCCAGGGAGGTGGAAGTCTGTAGCCTAGAGGCCTAAATTGCCCATTTAGGGGCTTCTTGGCTTTCCAAAGATGTCTTAGAAATTTAGTGTAATGAGCCATATTACACAAGAAGGGATTAGTTCCAGCCCAGCTGGAACAATGCAGGTAATAATTTCCATTTTCTCAAAAAATTAGTAATTTTTGGTGCTAAAAATATTTACCTAGATTTTGTTCTAAGTTTTAGACAATGCAAAATTTTCTCCGATCACTGTTCAAGCCAGATGAAATCAATGGGAATTTGTGGTAGTGAGAGTGTAGGAGTGAGGAGTTCCTCAGTAGGGCAGAGGCATCACTGACCCCACAGCTTTTAAGGAGCCCTTTCAGTTATTAATCTATTTAGCAAGTCTGAAAGCCTCCCAGTTTCCATTTGGCCTGAGAAAACATGAATTAGAACTCCAGAAATACTCTTTGTTCCAAGGTAAGATGCACAATTATTGAAAACGTCTGCCCAGATGAGATTATTCAAATTATCACCTGCCCTTTCAAATGACATTTCTTTTCTTCTCTCATTTTCTCCCATTTTAAGGTTTGTAAATATTTGGACATTTTTCCCTCCTCTCTCACTTACCTGAGCAGTGCTCAGTTTAGGTTCATACTTGGGACCTCTCTAATGCCCTGCATTTTAATAGCCTCCATTTGGAAGGAAATTTGGACCAGGAGCTAGATTATCCCACATTGTCCCAGGTTTACCTGACAGAGCCAGTTCTGAAGAGCCAGGCTTGCTCTTTCTTTGACAGGGAGACAGAAAAGTGGCTCACAAATCAAGTTCTATGAGTAATCTGAATGAAAGCACCAATCTCCTGCTTGTGGCATTTGGCCTGAGCCCCGTTATGTTATCCAAGAACAAGCCAAAAGAGCTCTGCAGGGTTACGTAGCCTTTCTGGCTGGGTTTGTGTCTCTGAGTAAGGAACTCCACTCTGGCAGGGCAGCTCCCATTAGCATGAAATGATTTTAGCAGGAAAAGGACATTGGCAGGGCAGGGAAGGGTGTCCTTACTTTTGCAGATAGGGATCTTGTTACTCCACGTGCCATCCTTCAGACACTCGATCTGGAAGGAGTCACTTTCCACGTTATCCTGTGCAGAAGGTATCAACAAAACAAAAAACAAACCACATTCTATCAATGTTCAAAGCAAAGAAATAAATCTCTCAATAAAAAGGGAATTTCTTGGTGATTTAGTCAGGTTATAGCTAGCATGCCCTGGAAGAGGACTTTTTTAGCTAAAAATTGCAATAAAATTGTAATGAAAAACTTGAGGCGTTTTCTTGCTGCCAGCGACTCTGTGGCACACTGAAAGCCAAAGAACTGGAGTCAGTTATTCCTGTTGTGAATGATGGGATGGGTAAGGAGGCAGCTCTGCACGAAGGATGGGACTGGGAGGAGATCAGAGAAATACCCAGGTCCGTGTTGGAAGTCAAAGTGGGCTACTGGCTTGGAGGGAAGACAGCCACCCCATGAGTCAGCCATGCTCTCTGTGGTTCTCAGCTGTTTCCCAGAGAGAGCCTGCCAAAGTCCTGCCCCTCCTGACTCACTAGTGCTGTCCCCAAGTCCCCAAGGACCTCCCAGTCAGTGGAGGCTTGACTCTGCAGGGCTGCTGAGACAGTGCCCACTGAAGTGGGGGGCACGCAGAGCCCTGGCAGCTGCCTCAGAGTTTCTGCTGATTTTTTTCTCTGGCAGGGGACCCAGGCCTGACATTCTGTGAGGTTGCTGCCTCTGGAGGGATGTTGAGAGGATGGCTCAGGGAAGTGCTATCTCCTCTTTCCCTCTGCATCTTTGGAAAGGAAAGGTGTTGGCTCTCAGAGGAGGTGTTTTCCTTGCCCCGGGAAGGGGATGAGGATGATGTGTGATTGTGTTCACTCTCCCTGAGATGCAATGGCTCTGAGAGGAAGTATCCTCTTCTTCCTACCTGTATTCCCATCTCCATGTTGTCAACCCATACCTTCAGCACTTTGTATCCAGTGTTGCAGCTGATGACAACCTGGTCTTTGAAGGTGTACTTGGCTTGAGAAGGCTCAATTTTCCCATTGATTGGTGGTTGCACCAGTGGGCACGGGTTTCCTTTGAATAGAAAGCAAATGAGGCTAAACAGGGGAATAAATAGAGCAAATGTAAAGTCTCAGCTCTTCCACCCAGCCCATGTAGCAGAATTTGAGCATCTCTGCCCTGCTTTTACCCTTAGTCTACACTGGCATGGCACAGCCGGGCATGGAGGCTCCATGTCTTTCCTTCAGTCTGTAATTCTCTGTCTTTGAGCATTACAAATCTGGGAGCTAATAACAGTAGCTTGTGCAATTATCCTGCCCAAAATTGCTCTGCAATATGGTCTTGTTTCAGAGCCCAGTTGTTGTAGGGAAAAAAAGAATCATTTGGAGGGAGGGCTCCATGTTACTTTAAGCCTCTCCTATTGTGATTTTTGGAACAGATCCTTTCTGGAGACAGGATCACAGACTACCAAATTCATGCTGTCCACCTTTATAAAGCCCTTCCCATTCCCAAGCCCAGCAAACAGGAAAGCAGCAGGAGTTACCAACTGCTGTGTATGACAGCTTCCAGCCCCTGTTCTCTCCGGAGTTGTCACTGTGGAAGTGGATCTGCACGCTGTTGGTTTGGGTTTCAATGCGCCCTGGGGACTTTTCTCCACAGAAAGGTCCAAACTCCTTTTGGCCTGCTTTGATCTGCCGAGGGAAAGATGACGGAGGGATTTGAGGGGGCTCTTTGATCCCTGAGGCCAATGGGTGGGGCTGGAGTGGGGCTTAAGCACCATGTGTTGGGAGAATGTGAACAGAAAGAGGGTCACTGTTGGCTGGAAGGGTCACAAGCAGATGTGGTAAGAGACATGGGGTGAATGTCAAGGCTCCTGCTGATTCTATCATCCCTGTTTAGTCTGGGGTGATTCTGATCCCATCACCAGAGCACTGGGGACACAAAAGGTGAGTGTGAGAGGAGGAGAGCGCAGAGCCCAGCTCACCTTGATGTGGTCATATGGACAGGTCACCTCGGGGTGGTCTTCCACATCAAAGCTGTCCTCAAAGTTGAGGGTGATGAAGAAGCCCTCTTCCAGCTCGATGCGGTACAGGCAGTCCGAGCTCTTGGGGTAGGGGCTGGGGAAGTCAGCGCTGGTGATCACCCCGCTCCTCTGGGTGTAGAGGTTGTCACTGCACTCCACTGAAACACAGCCGTGGCTCCATCAGGGCCCTGACTGCCATGTCCCAGCCCTGACCAACCCAGGAATCCTCCCAGTGGAGTGGGGTCTGTTGGGTGGATCCATGGATTCCGAATATGGGTACATGGAGCCCAAATGTGTCCATGCAAGGAGAATCTCACACAGCCAACTTCCAAATATGCCCATGGCACAGGAGCCCTGGGCTGAGAGCTAGTCCCAGCTAATCTACATGATGCAGATTCAGAGCAGGGACTAAAGCTTTTCATTTTTCTGACTTGAGGAGATCTATAGAGCTTAGCTGAGGAGCACAGCCCCTGGGAGAAGGAGTCCCACACTACTGGTTTGTAGGGGAAGAAGCTGCTCATCCCTGCTAACAGCCAAAAAGGGCTGTTTTGCCTGTGCTTGGAAGGTGTGATGCCTACTCAGGGACCCTCTGTGTGCCCATGCCTGGGTGTGGGCTGTGCCTGTGGTACCTTTGCAGGTCCTGTTGTCGGAGTGCAGGATGTAGCCAAACCTGCAGGAGCAGTAGTACCCGCCAATGTAGTTGTGGCAGTAATGGTCACAAGCCAGCTCCTCATCACTCTTCTCCTGGCACTCATCCACATCTAGAATGGAGTTAACAAAGAAGGGAGGTCACCCTGAAGCTCTCCACATGTCACTCTTTGTGGGGACATTTGTCACAACACCGAGAAATCTTGTGTTATCCCATGTGGTGGGTCACATGAGCACCCAGTGAGTCCCACATGGCCCAAGGGCTGCAGATAAGTTCTTCTCTAGCCCAGGAACCCAAAGCTGACCCGAGATGTGGTCCCTGCAAATCTGGGTCCCTGTCCCAGCAATCTGGCCCTGCAGCTCCAATGCTCTTACCCACAGCGGTGTAATGGGCATCGAAGCCAGTGAAGCGTTCCTCGTTGGAGAAGTCAGACCTGAAGGTGAGCCCCATGTAGGGCCCTGGGGACAGGATCACTTGCTGTCCTGGAGCCTGCTCCGTGTCCGTTGTCTCCCTGCCACAGAAGGTTGCCAGCTCCTGGTCCTCAGTTTCAATCTGTAGGCAGAAAGAAGGGGTGAGCCTGGAGAGCCTGCTGTGTGTTCCCTGGGGAGGTCAGCCTGGGATTGGAATCATCCTCTCTGTCCAGGAGCTCACACCTCTGCCTGTGCTTGCCCAGGCTGTCCCTGCCAGGACTCGCCAGTGTCTCCATGGGGCACAGGGACTCAGGTCTGCCTGTTCTGGCTGGAGGGGCCTCTGAGGCAGATTCCAAGAGCCCATGGCATCCAGGATGTAGGGAGGAGCTGGGGGATGTAAGGGGAGGATGCAGGGTGGGAGCCCATTTGGGAGATGGGATGAGATCATGGGGTGGCAGTGCAGAAGGGATGTGAAAATCAGCCCTGGGCTGTGTCATTCCCACTCAGAGCTGGTGGCTCCTGAGATGCTTCCCCTCACCTCTTCCCATGGCTCAAACACTGATCCATCTGTGAGAGGGGCCTAGAGCAGTCCCTGCCTATTGGTTTTGCCTCACCTCAAAGCAGCAGCTGTAATTTCTGTCCCTTGGGCTGCCTTGGACAAGCTTGGTCCTGTCCCTCCCACCCAGGCTCTCTGTCTGGCTCCAGAGCTGTGGCTCCAGGCGCTGCTGGGACTCTGGCCGTGCACCCAGAGGGCTGAGGAAGGGGAGTGATGAGCCAGGGTGCCCTGTTGTCATATCAGCACATTCAGTAGTCTCTGTGTGCATCCCTTTAAAACAGAGCCTTATAGCACTGTAATCCCGGCAGAAAACCCTTCAGTTTTCCCTGGAAACCCTCTACTTTCCTTTTTCCCTGCTGTTTTCTCCAGCATTGATCCACCTCCTTCTCCTACACATCCCATCCCCAGCCCCTGTCTCAAGCACAACCTCTCCCAGGCAGTTCCCAGCACCCTGCCTGCTTTCCCCCGGGGATTTGAATATGAATAAGCCTCGGCAGAGGAATGTGATGAGCGCCACCATGCAGCCACCACTGCTCGAGCCAAGCCACCGCTATTGAGGCTGTGATGAAGTCTGCAGCCCCCCAGCACATGCCTGGGGAAATCAGCCATCTGCTGGGGGCCCATGGGGTCCCGGAGGTGCTGGAATGCTGTCCCTGCCTTGCTTGGCCTCCGCAAGAAGAGACCCTTCTCTGATTCCGTCCCTGTCACCAAGAGACCCCCAGGATGTGCCTGCTGGGGAAGGTCTGGGCTGAAAGGGAAATTTCCCAGAGCTGAACAAACAAGAGGAAACTCGTTCACACCAGGGAAAGCCAACATGGAAATGGCAACTCAGCATGCCTTGACATTGCCTCCAGATATTTTCCATCCTCTCATACAAGCTGGAGCTGGCCAGAAAAGAGAGACACTTTCCGATGATAAATTTTGGGAATTTCGAGAAAAACACACGCACTCTGCTTTGGGGACAAAAACCCAATTGAATTTTTTTTTTTTTTGTGTAACAGCGTTCTGGGGCAAAAAAAGAAAACAAGTAATTTGGGCTCCATCTGGTTTCAATCCCTTTGAAATATACTGTGGTGCTTTAGAATTGCTTTTAAATCTGAAAGACTGTTTTGAAATGAAAAAGTGTTTCAGACTGAAAAACAGGAGTGCCATCACCAGCAGCGAAGGAAAAAGGCATTTCAGCCCTGATGCACAGAGTGGGCAGTGCCAGCACGTGGAACACAGCCTCTTCCACAGAAAATGCTTTTTCTTAAGGAAATCTGTGGGAAGGAGGAATTTCCAGCCAGCTGCTCTGTGTGGGGCTGGTGGCTGTCACCCCTGTCAGAGTTCAGAGCCACCGTGTGGGCTCCCATTCCTTGCCTTCAGCCCCAGGGAGTGCAGGACCTGCAGCGCAGCATTCCCAAAGTGCTGGGAAACCTTCCCAATGCCCTGTGCCTCTGCTCTAGGATGCTGCAGCCATGGGGCCAGCCCCAAGCATCCCTGGATCCCTGGATCCAGCCCTGGAGCAGCAGGATGGGCCCCGGGAGAGCTGTGCTCTCCTCACTGGAGGTATCACAGCCCCTTATCTGAGACGGGTCCCATGCCCCGAGCCACAGGGAGCAGAGGCAGCCCTCCAGCAGTAAACTAAACACAGAGGTCATCATCCCTGGTTAATATTTGCTGCTTCTGCTGGGGACTGTATACTTTTTTGTAGATCATTTACATCCAGCGAGCAGGCTGGTAATTAAATCCTGGTTGTTTGTTTGGAGTTTCTCCCTCTCGGGTCACGATGTCGACGTTTTCACTAGAGAAGATGTGTCCCTGAGGGAAATATCAATTGCCACAGAGAAATTCCCTATAAAAATACGCTGAAAGAATCTTCCTTTGAAAAATAAAATATAGCAACACCCTTGTGCATTAAATTTACCCGTGCCAATGCCTCCTGCTGTCTTCCCTGTTTTTTCTTGTATCCTCAGTCCCTCATTAAGACTTCTGCCCTTCTGGATGGAGGCAGATTGGAGTCCCTCTCTGGTTGTGGATCTATCCCTCTGCATTTGGGCTGGTGCTGTGCCTAATGGGTGTCCCAAGCTGTGGGGCCCCTCTCTGCCCCACAGTGATTCCCCCCTTGGGCGAAGGAGCTGGCAGGAAAAAAATCCCAGGGCATGGGTTGTTGGGGATGCCTGGGAGCACTGATGCTCTGGAGGTGCCTCCTGCAGCCAGGGGGTTAATGAAATGCCAGAAACACCGAGGGGAATTTGGCCAGGCAGTTTGGTGTCTGCTGCCCAAGAGAGGACCAGGCAATACGGAAACACAGCCGCCACCCGCCCCCCTCTGCAGCCCTCCAGGAATGCACTAATTGGACTGATGAAGGCCAAACATACCACTTGTAATATATATAAATGGCTCATTAGGCAGAGAAATCGCAGTGCTGGGCTGAAGACACTGGGAACATGACATGGGGAGGAGATGCTCCGAGCCAGGGCAGGGCACGCAGCGGCCCCCGCAGAGCGGCCCCGCAGAGCGTGGCAAGAAGGCAACACCCAGAGCAACAACGGGGCTTTTTCCACAATGCTGCTGCTGCTGACTGCTGGGAATGAAGCAGGGACAGCCCCTGAAACAGCCTCCATCTAAGTGTCCAGGAGATCTGCTCCCCAAGATACATCTAGAGTCCTTTCATATACAAACATGAAATTGCCCTGAATTTCCACGGGAGCATAGGTGGCAGCCCTGCTATGGGTGATGAAGGAGGATAGCTGGTTTCCTGTGCTGTGGATTTGGCTTGGCTCCAGAGACTGTCCCCTCCTGCATGGCAGCTGCACCCACGTGCCCTATGTATGGGCAAGGTTTGTTCCCTGCAGGGGCTGGGGGTGAAAAGAGACCCAGGCAGGAGGCTGGGGTCCTGCAAGAACTGATGACTTGCTCCCATGCCTGGTCTCCCTCCTCCCCCTGCACTGTCCCCAGTGGTGCAGGGGAATGGACTCTGCAGAGAGGTGGCACTTTCCTATCAGGATAGGAGGGACAAGCAGCAAAGCCCTGGGCTCTCCCAGCTGCCTCCTGGGGTTCACAGTGCTCCTTTTGGGACCCCACACTCCCAGGGAATGAATGAGCCCCAGCTAGGGCTGGCTGACAGGACCAGAAGAGGATGCTCTTCTCCTGAACCCCCAATTCATGCCAAACCTTGATTTGTGCTTTTTCTCCCTGGTTTGAATAGAGGAAGGTGTACATGGGCCCTGTGGACTCTGCTTGCAGCCCCAGGCTGGGCATGCACTGCCCTGAATGAAAAACCAAGCCTGTTCCCCGGGCCTGCATGTGCCCCACCAGTGCCTCATCAGTCACTGATGGGGTGTCCCCCATCTTCATTCCAATCAAGGAGCTGGCTGCCAAGCTCTTGGGGGCTGATTTCATTCCAGGGCTTGACTGAGCAATGTGCAAAACCCCACTGACAGCTCCCCTGGCTCAGATCTCTATAATAAGCTTGGGGATTTACTCATGATGGCCCCTTAGAAGCCAGGATGCCCATCTCCCTGTCACTGTGCTCCTCAGTGACACTGTTCAAGTCATTTATCCTGATTTTATAGTCAGAGCTGTGGATTTTTGGGTGCCCTGGGCCAGTGCCGCAGGCCTGCAAACCATGGTGAAACCCTCTGCAAATGAGGAACCACCAGACTGGCTGGCTGTGGATGGTGATGAGCTGGGCAGAGCCTGCTGAGCAGCACAGGAAAGGGAAGGAGCAGGAAAAAGGTGGATGGCTGCTCCATCCCTGTCCACATGCACCTGGCAGGAGGCTGACAGCAGCCACCCAAAGGTGAGAGGCTGTATCCAGTGTGCTGAGCCCCAGAGCTTGCCTCTCCAGCAAACTGGAGTTTTCTACCTGCATGGGGGGCTTCTCCAGGTGGGTATTTTGGGGATGGCTGTTCCTCCCATTCCTCCTGGCTCACTTCCTCACTGAAGTGCAACTCCCCTTCTCTGCCATGCCCATTTGCACAAACAAGCCTCCCATGCTGTGAGCATTTCTTTGGGAGCCACGTTCATTTTTTACATATACACACAAGGGCACGCGTGCGTGTGCATATATATAAATAAACAGCTATTGTTTTAATTAGCCATTGTTTCAGAGCTCTGGAAACTGTTCCCTCCTGCAGACCACCCCGAAGGCAGAGGTCTGTGAGGGTTTACAGCTCACATCACCCTGAGCTTGCCACTTGGGATGAGCTTCTACACCACTTAAGAGCTGGGGTGTGTGGGCAGCCAGGGGGTGAGGGAAGCAAAGGCCAGGGCACAGGGGCTTTTTGGGCTTTTTACCTGTCCTGAATTGAGTCCCCACCTGCTCAGCCCCTTTTAAACTCCTTCTTACAGCAGTCAAGGTGATGAAGACCCTGAACAAACAAGGTGTTTCTTCACACACAGAGAGGGACATAATCATATATTTAACCCGTCCAACTCTCTGGCATGTGGTGCTGCAGAGATCAAAGTTACCCATGAGCTCAGAAAGCAATGGTACAAGTTCATAGATGGGGAATCCATTGAGCACCATGGAACACAGAGCTCTGCCTGTGTTTCTGAGCCTCGTCACTGTCACCAGCAGAATATTACAGAGAAGCACCTGCATGTGCTAGGTCTAAAGTTATGCTCTATAGCCATGCACTGTGGCCTCTGTCAAAGAGGGGGCTGATTGATGCTGGTTTTACAGCTTGCATTGGTGGAGACAGAGCTGACACACAAACCCAAGGAGGAAAACAGCCATGGACTCATTCACTGCTCTCCTTAATGTTTTCTAAACCAGTGGTTTAGCAGCATCAAGACTGTATCCCTTACCCAGCAGAGTAACCTCTGGATCTCCAGGAATCCATCCATTTTCATCACTTTCCAAATGTAATTCTGTGGTGGAGGCTCCGCAAGCTGAGTTATAGCCCCAAGCAAATTTATACAGCTGAGATCTAAATCCCTGTGAAAAATACCTCCTTCTTATGGAAATCCAGCAGCAGGGAGAGCTGTGGTGCCAAGTTGGCACCATGGCCAAATAACAGGGAGCCTTATGAAAAAGGAAAAAAGAGCAGGGGGTGAAAGGCAGGAGGAGGGGTAAAGCTTGGAATGGGGAAAGTTTCCAAGAAATCTGTTCCTTGAGCTTACTGGGGTTTTAAAGCAATATATCTCTATATATGTCCCTGGGCCCTTGTGCTTGGAGAAGATCCAGGAGAAGCAGAAAGAGCTAATCAAACCTCAATGAGAGCTGTTAGTAGCAGGGTGAGTGCCAGCACAAAGGGGAAATTAAAGCAGGGAGCAACGGACCCTAGAGGGAAAAAGACACAAATGTTTGCTTTGTTTTCTTAGGGCAAGAATAAAACAATAATTTCAATAATCTGGCAAATAGCACCAGGGTCAAGTTCTGTGGTTCCAGACCTGGGAGCAAGCTCCACCTGCCTCTGTGTGAAGGAGCAGGGTGGAGCTTGTCCTGGTGATGATGTGAGGTGTGTTCAGCCAGGCAACCTAGAAAGCACCTGCTTGCTACTGCTGATCTGCGAGAAGAACCACACTTGAACATCTTCAGAGATCTGGAGAGCCACCCTTGTCCTGGATGTGAAGGAAAGCCCTGCTTGGAGAAACCTGTGGTGTACAGACAAGGTTGCTCTGGGGCACTGCAGTGTGCGGCCACCCCAGTTTTGGGTGGGTTACCACCCAGCAGAGAAGCAGACTGAAATATTTGTAGATTTTGGCCATGACAGCTCCCTGGAAACCTCCATAGCAGCCTCAAGCTCAGGTCTAACCTCTCCCTTTTGCTTCCTGCAGGGCTGGACAGGGTGTCCTGAGAGCCTGCAAGGTGTGGCCAGGGATCCAGGCTGGCTGCAAGCGGCACCCACAGCCATGGCCTGTCAAGTGTGCCCAGATCAGGGGATCTCCTTGCTGGCGTCAGAGTGACACAAACTGGTGTTCAGCCACAGGTGTTTTATCAGCCCAGAGGTGTGAAAATCCCATTGGGTGCAGTAAGAATTACATGCCCAAATGCTTTCAGAAATTTGTTTGTCTCTGGGTAAGCTCTGACTCTGGTGTCCCACTCCCTGTTGGTCCAGTGGATGCTGCCAGCTTACCTGTGCTCTCCCTGTGGTCCACTGGACTGACAACTCCTGAGCCCCATAAAATGGGGAAAACTGTCCTGTTCCCAGCTTTTCCAGCACTACCCTTTCTCAGCTGTCCAAGCAACCCTGCTGTCTATCCCACCACCTGTCACGGCTCACCTTTACATAGTCGTATTCACAGAGGTAGGATGACTCCAAGTCAAAATGCATGAAGTACAGCTTGATTTTAAACCCATCAGGCACAGAGATGTTCCAGGTCATTTCCGAGTCGCTGGGATAGGAGTCGGGGAAGTTGGGAGACTGGATCTCCCCAAACATGTCTGTCAGCTCCACAGCATCTGCCACACAGAGCAGCAAGGCACAGAGGGGCCAGGCCAGGGGGTACCTGGAACACACATGAGGGGATGAAATGAAACTCTGGCAGTGACAATGGCTGTGCAAGGCTCATCTCTTTTCCCAAGTGGATTGTGCAAGAGGAGGTACAGCACCATGGCACCATGAGCAACCCCTGGGAGGTGCAGGTGGGATCTGCATGTGGCTCCCATGAGGGGAAAGCCCCTTTGGAAGGTGGGTGCCACAGGTGCTGCAAGTGATGCAAAGGCACCTCCACAGCTCCCAGGCAGCCTGAAGTGCCACCAGGATCTCGGTGTTTCCTGTGCTGCTGGAGCAGCAGCCACTGGCAACACATCCCTTAACTAATGGAGCTCTGGTGGGCAAATCTTCATTTAATGGAAGAATGAACATAAGCATGCTTAATAAAATAATGATGTTCTCTAAATCGATTTAGTGAAAGCATCCTGGCAATAACTGCTAAGTATCATTATTATTATTATTATCACTATTGCTGCTGAGCCTCATCCTGCCAAATTGGGATCATTAACTCTCAGTAAATAGCACACATCTTTGCAGCTGGGCAAAGATGGAACCAGGCCTCAGCTTTGCAACCCTGCATGTTACACTCCTCTTCTCTTCTCTTCTCTTCTCTTCTCTTCTCTTCTCTTCTCTTCTCTTCTCTTCTCTTCTCTTCTCTCTTCTCTTCTCTTCTCTTCTCTTCTCTTCTCTTCTCTCTTCTCTTCACAGAGGCTGAGATTCATAAAGATGTTTCGTCATCAAACCCATCTTTTAAAAAATCTCAGTCTGAAGAGTTTGTCCCAACTTGTTCCCAATTTATTTATCCCAGAGGAGGACAGAGAGAACAGGTAAATCTGTGGTGGTCCAGCTGACTTCACACCGGCCTTGAGCTTCATTTGGCATGAAAGGGAGCATGAGCTGAGTATTCCTCTGCACAAGGAGAGAACACCACCCATGCTGCAGGTGTGAAGACAAAAGCCTATGCTATTGCATAGGACCCAGAAAGAAGAGGGACCTCAGGCTCTTTACACATAGTTGGAGCATACAAAGGAAAAGAAACATGCAGGAAATAAGAGCCATTAAACATTAAAATTTCTAAAATAGGCACTAAGGCCTGGCAAAGGTTTGTAGGTGTATACAACAGACATTGGAACTACTCACATGTACACCTGGTTTCAAAATCAGGGCTTGATTTAGGTATGCTGGTGAGGAAATTGAAGCTGCATTAGTGGATTATTTTTAACCTGTCTGTGTTCTTTCAAAACCAGGGCAGCAAATTTCTGGGGTTCATTTGTGTAGTACCATCACTTTTCTCAGCTCTCCTTTACAAAGAAAAGTAAATGGGAGCTGAGAAATTTGGATTGATTTTTCTTTCAAGCGGAGTGAGGTTGAACATGCCCTTTTCTGACAGCTGTTCTGAAACCACAAAAATGTGTGAAGGGAAAGACTGTTACTCCTCTGCTCAGAGTACATGCACGGGGCTGGATGCTGAGCTGGTGTAGTGGGCATCACCTCCTCCATTTCAACAGGCTGTTTTCTTGAGCAGCTCTGCTTCCTCCGAAGCAGGGGAGGCAAAACAGCATCAAACTTCATCCTCATGACCGGAAAGCCTTAACCTCATGTGAAAGTGATAAATGACCGTGGTGTGCACGGAAACCCGAAGCCCGCGCAGCAGGTCCCACCTCGCTGTGCCTCGGCCGTGGCAGAGGGGTGCCCATGCCGGGATGACCCTTTGGCTGTGCCGGGATATCCCTTTGGCTTTGCCGGGATGTCCCTGTGGCTGTGCCGGGATGTCCCTTTGGCTTTGCCGGGATGTCCCTGTGGCTGTGCCGGGATGTCCCTGTGGCTGTGCTGGGATATCCCTTTGGCTGTGCCGGGATGTCCCTGTGGTTGCACCGGGTTATCCCTTTGGCTGTGCCGGGATGCCGCTCTGGTTGTACCGAGATATCCCTGTGGCTTTGCCGCGATGCCGGCGTGCAAGCCGGGCTGCGGCAAGAAGCCGGGCCGTGAGCACTGCCCTGTTCTCTCAGGACAGGGGAACTGGAGCCGATCCTGGAGAATCCCTCCTGAGCAGGACACCCCCCTGCCCGGCCGTGCCCGGGCTCAGCCCGTGCGGGGTACTCACCTCATTTCGCTGCTGGGGGAGTTTCCCGGCGGCTTTGGTGCGGGGAATCGATGGCTCGATCCCTGCGGGGGACGGCTCTGCCTCTTTCCCAGCGCTCCGCTGTCCGCCTTATCTCTGTCCGGAGATTTGCGAGCGTGTGTGCGCCTATGTGTGTGTGCGTCTGGAGCTGTCTGGCATTTTCCATGCAGGTCACGCCTTCCCGTGCCTGCAGCGTTCCCCACATCCAGGCAGGCAGGCAGGCAGACCTGCCCGCAGCCGAGCCCTCCTCCCCGCCCGCCGCTCCCTCCTCTCCGCCGCGGGGCTGCCCTGCGCTCCGGCATTCAGCGCCGTTTTTGTCTTCCCTAATCTCCAGAGTTTTGTGTATGTGTGTGTGCCCATGCACATTGTGTTTTCTCTCTCTCTCTCTCTTTTTTTTCCACCCCCCTCACAGCCTGCTTTGCCAGATGGCTAAAATTTGCCTCTCAATAGGGTCTGAGGCTCCAGCAAAAACAGAAGGCAAGAATGTGTGAAAAAAAAAAAAAAAAACCAACTGTGCCGGGATAAATAGCTTTAGTGGTGGTGCTGCCGCTGGGATCGGCGCTCGGGAATTGCTTTCAGCATCTCTGCTTAGTGCCGAGCAGCGTTTGGGATGGGGATCCGGCTTCCAAGAAACTTTGGAGCTGTGACAGTCTGAATAAAATCAAGCACTAATTTGCACCCTCCTGTAGAACTGAAGAATTACCAGATTCAGTATTTTGTCCCAGGGCAAAAGAGCAGCTTTAGAAGTGGACTCTGCTCAGGAGTGAAAACTTTAAACACCAAAGTTTCACAGTGTTTTGAGCCTGACTCCCTCCTGTTCAGGAAACAGGTAAAAACATGAACACTCCCCGCTAAGCCACGGGAGACTGATCTCCCCTCCCTGTGCCAGGCACAAACCAACCCAAACTCCCCTGTCTGCATAGCTAAGTGGGAAGAAAAATCTATCCGGGCTGCAAATAAGGGAATGGCACGTAGGACGTCAAAGGATGCGAGCGACTCCCTCATTCAGAAATCTCCTTGGACGCACAAGGAGCAAAACTTTAATAGGTGTTTACCAACTTCAGCTTGAGCTGGTTAATGTGAACCCCGCAGATATCCACTGGCAGGCACGCATACACATGCGGCACGCTGAAAGGCACACAAAAACAAGGGAGGAAAGAGGCAGGGAAGCAGGGATGTGCTGGCACCACTCGGGGCAGCAGCTCCCGGCCCTCCCGGGCTCGCTGGTGTCAGGCTGTGGCGCACCCATTAAAGGGGCGATGGTGCCTCCAGCCTCTGCACAGGCTTTGCCCCTCCAGCAATCCTAGAGAAGCTGGAAGGGAAGGGGATAGAGCAAAAAAAAAAGTAAAATTGTCTTTTTCCATTTCTTGTCTTTGTATTTTGGGGGTTAGGGTGCCTTGGTTTCCGGTGAAAAAGCTGCTTTCTCATTCCTGCGAGTCTCTGGTTCTGAGAAAGAAATGGTACCTAAGAGACACAGTGAAAGAAAATAGAAAAATATGGGTGGAAAAGCACTACAAAAAGAGGAGAAAGGCCCTGAGTAAAGGGAAGATCTCAGTCTGCCATAATTTCTAGCTCTATTTGGAAAGTTTTAACAGCTTATCACTAAACAGACATGAGCTCTCACTCATGCTAACACACCCAGGCAAGCTGATCAAACTAATTAATATGTAAGCAATGTGTCAAATGCAAGGATTTATTTTTGCAGGCAAGTGTGGTCCTGTCTGAGCCCTGAATATACTGTGATCTATTTTTTCCCTGCCTCTTCTGCAGAGTGGGTCCTTTATGCATTAATTTTTCCATCACGGCACTCTTCTATAGCTTTTCGGAATGGCTTCTCTAATTCAGGGGAAGTATTAATTCTGAAGTCAGATTTTCTTTGCCTGCCAATGATTCTTTCAAGACCACCTTGGGTCAAAGTCAGTGTTTACACTTCAAGGCTGGACTGGGAAGTGTAAAGTGTTAGCAGAAGCTCTGCAGGGTTTTGCACCATGCTGGTGGATGCACCATGGGCTTAGAGCATCCATGCTGACCGAGTAGGCTCTGGAAGGCAGGAGAGGATGCCCAAGGGGCAGCACACTGCAGATCCCATCAGCAGCCCTCTGAGCTGGTTTCCCCGCTAGGCTGCTGAATCCTGGGGGTTTTCCTTGATCCAGTGCTTGTCCCTGTCCCCCACCCCCTTGGTGTGCAGAATCACATCTCCCTGAAAGCTCATGCTGACCAGCTCAGGACTCAGTTTTTTTCCAGCCAAATCTTACCTGAGACATTGTGGGCTGCTAAAGAAAGTTGACGGGTAGTGGCTGCATGGCCACAACTTCAATTCTGCTGTACCCAAGTGCTTAAAATTACCTGCAGCCTCCTGCTCCAAACTCCAGCCCCAACAGCTACACTGCTGAATCCTCTGGGAAGGGACTCTGATCTCCAAATTAGTCCTGTTGGAACCCTAATGATCTGGCCTGGCTAATTGCACTGCCTCCCTGGGTTACAGCAAGTCAGCTCTGGTTGCCCTCTGTAGCAACATAAACCCTGTGCTGTGATGGCTGCTGGTGGGGAGGCAGATGGGGATCTGCAAAGGGAAGGTGGTGCAGAAGCTGTTCTGGCTGCAATGCCTTCTCCTGAGTTATTCCCATCTGATAGAGAGGAGGGCTCATCGTAGCCAGGCCTGGCCACTGACACTGCTGTGTGAAGTGTCCATGAAGGGTAAAGGCAATAAAGGCCACCAGGAGAGGATCTGGTCCTGTCCAGGCAAGGTCTCATGTGAGCTGTTACCTGCTCTCTACCTGAGCTGGCTCACAGCTACCAGTGATGCCAGGGCTGTGGAGACATGTCCCACCTCGCTGGGGCACTTGGAAAAATATTACCTGAGGTCTCACCATGCAGTGACCAGAGTGGGGATGCTGAGTTTTTGGGAAGGAGTGTTTTCTTCCCCAGATGCTGGTGGAACAGGGGAGTTAGACTGTGACAGGTCAGCAAACAGGCCTGGACCTGCTTTCTCACTGATGCCTCCCATTCTTGGAGAGATCATTTCTGGAACTACTTCTGCATGTCCATGATACTCATCAAGGACTGAGCTCAGCAGTGTTGTCCAAAGCATTTCTTTAATGCTGGGGTCAAATTCACCTCCTTGAAATAATACCAGTATTATTATACACTGAGTGGAGTTTGACAGGGATAAAACAGATGTGAGGGAAAAGCATGGACCCGCAGGAATACGACTGTGGGGTGAATCTGTGACTGGAATAAATGGTTGTACACTGAAAGCCAATACCTTGCCAATGTTTGTGACCCTGCTGCTCTCTGGGTGAGGCCAGCACAGCCCACACCACAGCCTGGGCACACTGCAACGTGTGCACTGCTGCTTGTCATGGTGTGTGTGATAGGGACAAAAGTGCTGGCAGATCCTGCTCCTGGTCTCCCCTGCTGTCTTTCACCTGGGATGCTGGAGAAGATTAATTCTCCAGGAAATGTGAGCTCTGTTTTTAACATCTTTCCTGAGTCCTGCAGGAGATGCAGGCTCTGCTCCTGGCAGTTCTCCCCCATCTCTGATGGGCTCCTGGAGCCCCCTCGTGGCTCCTGCCACTGACACGGTCCCACCGACGCCACCTTGGGGAGCTGCTGGGGGACGAACAGCGCCTCTGCTGCAGCTCCTGTGCAGCCCCAGTGCTGGGGAGTCACCTCGGGGGTGTCACAGGGGGGACAGGGCATGGGGGTGACAACAGAGACACTCAGGGGTGTGAACAGGGCGGACAGTCCCACTCCAAAGCCATTTCCCTGCTTTGTGAGCCTGGCAGGAGATGAGCCCCCCTGTGGCTTTGCAGTGCCAGCCCCTGGAGCCTGCTGCTCCATGCGACAGCCCCGGGAGAGGCGGCCAGAGCCCAGAGCCGGCGTGGAGGAACGGGAGGATGGATGGGAACGGGAGGATGGATGGGGAAGGGGGGATGGATGGGGAAGGGGGGATGGATGGGAACGGGAGAAGGAAGGAAGGTGGACATCGGGGAGGAGGCACACAAAGGTGGGGAAGGGGCTGTGGGGGTGGCAAAGGGTCTCTCTGTGCAGGAGAGGGGAGAGCGGCTGGGAAGCGGCGTGCGGGTGGGTGGGCAGGGCAGGGCTCGCTGCCAGGGCTGGGGACGCTCCTCTGTCCCACGGGCCCCGGTGCCACTAGATGGCACTTGAGCCTCTGCGCGGAGCGACACGGGGGTCCCGGGATGCGCTGCGCTCCGCGGGATCCCGAAATGCTCCTGGCAGCCGTTCCCGTGCGTGATTCTGTACCGGGGACTGGAAATGGAGAAAGCATAGAGGCTTTTGGGACGGGTACTTCCCTCCTGTCCCTGGGCTGTGCTGGCTCTCCTGGGGCACTTGCCATGCAGAGAGGCTCATGCCACAGTCCCTTGCAGAGGTGACCGGCTGAGGTGCCACACAGCTTCCACTGGAAGGTACCTCAGAAAAATCCACCCTCAGCACAGCCCAGTGGTTATTCTGTAAATCGATGCTTTGTTCAGCTGTGAGAGAAAATCAGATCCATAATGCTGTGGATGGAAATATTGAGCCCCTTTTGCCATTTTCTGTCCCATCCTCTGCCTCTTCATGCACACTGTGAGGTCATGGGAGGCACCCTGACTGTCACAGCATGCTCATGACTGGCACGAGATGATTTGGATTGTTTCAGCAGCCAGACATTCCCCTCTCTGCTGAAACTGAGGGATGCATCCAAAAGGATGCACAGAAGAAAAAAAAAATGCATATAACATTGAAATAAAACCAGAGAAATCAGGATGTTGTGTCGTATATTGGCCAAGTCAAACACATCTCGTCTCCTCTGGATCCCAGCCACTGCATCACTGGCTCCTGACAGCTGCCAGATCTGAGACTGTGTTGCTGTGTAACTGTGTGTGCTGGGCCTGGCTTTGATGGATGTTTTGTCATTGCTCCCCTTTGTATTCCACTGGAAGGGAAGCCCATGAATGCTTTTGGGAGTGTGAGAGCTGAGGTGCTGAGGCATCATCCACCTGACAGGCTTGGCTGAGCCTGCACCACTGCTGAAGGACAGGCACAGGGCTTGTGAAGGGCTGAGGCACTTAGTACCCACAGAGGGAAGCAGCAGAGCATCTCTTGCAGACCTTTGAGAGAAAAAGACCCCTAGAATTCATTTTGAGCAATC